CTCTACAGCGGGATAGCAAATGGTACACAGCCAACGCGAGGCAGGACAGAAGCACTGCGTCCTCATCTCCGGGACCTCTGGCTGTAACCAGAGGGGGCTTTGCTTCCTATGACCCCGGTCCTGAATGTCCCGTCACAGGCTTAATGTGCCACCCTGCTCCGATTGTAATCTTCACCGGTGTGTTCTGACCTACCTGCTGAGGTAGTGCTGGAGCCAGCGGTCCCTCCTGCCCCTGGGGTGACTAGCTAGCAGGGCCCTAGCAGTAGTGGCCTCACCCCCAGGGATGGCCTGCATCAGATCCCATGGAGCCTCCCTGTGGGGCCATCCGTGCCAGGCCCATGGATGTGGCTCTGGGCCAGGCGATGGAGACGGGTTTCCGAGGGCGCTGCTATGTGACCCAGAATGTTGAGGACATTTGTCCTACTCCTCCCTGTCCGTCCTACGCCCTGATCATCAGCTTCCTTTGGGAGCCCTTGGCGCTGGCAGCTCAGGTTCGGTTCGCTGGCTGCAGGGCCCAGGGCAGGAGGTCTCCATCCAGCAGTGTGTGTGTCATAAGTTTCCCGGGCTGGGAAACTCTGGGATCAAGGCAGGGAGTTTGCCTGTTATCCCAAGAGAGACTTCCCTGCAGGGGAAACGGCTCTAAAATTGCCCAGCAGCCGCCGCCGCAACGTTCATCCAAATGCCCAGCAGCTGCTGCTTCCCCTGCAGCTGCCAGCAGTATCTGTTCCCTTGCAGGATCTCTTGTCCTCCGCTTAACAGCTGGACCTGTGGCCAGGTCTCCCTAGCTGCTGGTGATCCCCAGCTGGCCCAGGCTTCTGCAGAAATGGAGGCTGGAGATCAGGGGAATCCCCTGCTCTTCGCCCAGCCAGTGCCAAGTCCAAAGGCTACCCACACCCGCAGGTGCCAAGTTCTGTGTAGCTCTATGGGGGATGTTCTGGGCCAATCAGTTACTTAGTTCATTTTGTATTTGTCGATTGTATCAACTTCAGCTCCTGGGCAATGCACCCCGTAGTGGAAGGTGGGATGTATAGGGGTGAGGATGGAGGTTAGGGGGTGTATGGATGGGTGCTGTGGAGTTGGGGGATGTATAGATGGGTACTGGAGGACTGGGTGGTGCAGGGGGTGCACGGGAGTGTATGGAGGGGTTGAGTGGTACTGGGGAGTTGGGGGTATATGGGTGGTACTAGGATGTGCGATGTGACGGAGAGACTGCCGAGACTCATCAAGCCCTCGGATCGCTACCCCTTCCTGCTTCTCCACGTGGGCACCAATGATACTGCCAAGAATGACCTTGAGCGGATCACTGTGGACTATGTGGCTCTAGGAAGAAGAATAAAGGAGTTGGAGGCGCAAGTGGTGTTCTCGTCCATCCTCCCCGTGGAAGGAAAAGGCCTAGGTAGGGAGCGTCGAATTGTGGAAGTCAACGAATGGCTACGCAGGTGGTGTCGGAGAGAAGGCTTTGGATTCTTCGACCATGGGATGGTGTTCCAAGAAGGAGGAGTGCTAGGCAGAGACGGGCTCCACTTAACGAAGAGAGGGAAGAGCATCTTCGCGAGCAGGCTGGCTAACCTAGTGAGGAGGGCTTTAAACTAGGTTCACCGGGGGAAGGAGACCAAAGCCCTGAGGTAAGTGGGAAAGCGGGATACCGGGAGGAAGCACAGGCAGGAATGTCTGTGAGGGGAGGGCTCCTGCCTCATACTGGGAATGAGGGGCGATCAACAGGTTATCTCAAGTGCTTATATACAAATGCACAAAGCCTTGGAAACAAGCAGGGAGAACTGGAGGTCCTGGTGATGTCAAGGAACTATGACGTGATCGGAATAACAGAGACTTGGTGGGATAACTCACATGACTGGAGTACTGTCATGGATGGTTATAAACTGTTCAGGAAGGACAGGCAGGGCAGAAAAGGTGGGGGAGTAGCACTGTGTGTAAGGGAGCAGTATGACTGCTCAGAGCTCCGGTACGAAACTGCAGAAAAACCTGAGTGTCTCTGGATTAAATTTAGAAGTGTGTGCAACAAGAGTGATGTAGTGGTGGGAGTCTGCTATAGACCACCGGACCAGGGGGATGAGGTAGATGAGGCTTTCTTCCGGCAGCTCACGGACGCTACTAGATCGCATGCCCTGATTCTCATGGGTGACTTTAATTTTCCTGATATCTGCTGGGAGAGCAATACAGCGGTGCATAGACAATCCAGGAAGTTTTTGGAAAGCATAGGGGACAATTTCCTGGCGCAAGTGCTAGAGGAGCCAACTAGGGGGGGCGCTTTTCTTGACCTGCTGCTCACAAACCGGGTAGAATTAGTGGGGGAAGCAAAAGTGGATGGGAATCTGGGAGGCAGTGACCATGAGTTGGTTGAGTTCAGGATCCTGACACAGGGAAGAAAGGTAAGCAGCACGATACGGACCCTGGACTTCAGGAAAGCAGACTTCGACTCCCTCAGGAACGATCCAATCCCTGACTAACTTGAAGGGAAAGGAGTCCAGGAGACTGCTGTATTTCAAGAATCCCTGTTAGTTACAGGGACAAACCATCCCGATGAGTCGAAAGAATAGTAAATATGGCAGGCGACCAGCTTGGCTTAATGGTGAAATCTTAGCGGATCTTAAACATAAAAAAGAAGCTTACAAGAAGTGGAAGGTTGGACATATGACCAGGGAAGAGTATAAAAATATTGCTCGGGCATGTAGGAATGTTATCAGGAGGGCCAAATCGCACCTGGAGCTGCAGCTAGCCAGAGATGTCAAGAGTAACAAGAAGGGTTTCTTCAGGTATGTTGGCAACAAGAAGAAAGCCAAGGAATGTGTGGGCCCCTTACTGAATGAGGGAGGCAAACTAGTGACAGAGGATGTGGAAAAAGCTAATGTACTCAATGCTTTTTTTGCCTCTGTTTTCACTAACAAGGTCAGCTCCCAGACTGCTACGCTGGGCATCACAAAATGGGGAAGAGATGGCCAGCCCTCTGTGGAGATAGAGGTGGTTAGGGACTATTTAGAAAAGCTGGACGTGCACAAGTCCATGGGGCCGGACGAGTTGCATCCGAGAGTGCTGAAGGAATTGGCGGCTGTGATTGCAGAGCCATTGGCCATTATCTTTGAAAACTCGTGGCGAACCGGGGAAGTCCCGGATGACTGGAAAAAGGCTAATGTAGTGCCAATCTTTAAAAAAGGGAAGAAGGACGATCCTGGGAACTACAGGCCAGTCAGCCTCACTTCAGTCCCTGGAAAAATCATGGAGCAGGTCCTCAAAGAATCAGTCCTGAAGCACTTGCATGAGAGGAAAGTGATCAGGAACAGCCAGCATGGATTCACCAAGGGAAGGTCATGCCTGACTAATCTAATCGCCTTTTATGATGAGATTACTGGTTCTGTGGATGAAGGGAAAGCAGTGGATGTATTGTTTCTTGACTTTAGCAAAGCTTTTGACACGGTCTCCCACAGTATTCTTTCAGCAAGTTAAGGAAGTATGGGCTGGATGAATGCACTACAAGGTGGGTAGAAAGCTGGCTAGATTGTCGGGCTCAACGGGTAGTGATCAATGGCTCCATATCTAGTTGGCAGCCGGTGTCAAGTGGAGTGCCCCAGGGGTCGGTCCTGGGGCCGGTTTTGTTCAATATCTTCATAAATGATCTGGAGGATGGTGTGGATTGCACTCTCAGCAAATTTGCGGATGATACTAAACTGGGAGGAGTGGTAGATACGCTGGAGGGGAGGGATAGGATACAGAAAGACCTAGACAAATTGGAGGATTGGGCCAAAAGAAATCTGATGAGGTTCAATAAGGATAAGTGCAGGGTCCTGCACTTAGGACGGAAGAACCCAATGCACAGCTACAGACTAGGGACCGAATGGCTAGGCAGCAGTTCTGCGGAAAAGGACCTAGGGGTGACAGTGGACGAGAAGCTGGATATGAGTCAGCAGTGTGCCCTTGTTGCCAAGAAGGCCAATGGCATTTTGGGATGTATAAGTAGGGGCATAGCGAGCAGATCGAGGGACGTGATCGTTCCCCTCTATTCGACATTGGTGAGGCCTCATCTGGAGTACTGTGTCCAGTTTTGGGCCCCACACTTCAAGAAGGATGTGGATAAATTGGAGAGAGTCCAGCGAAGGGCAACAAAAATGATTAGGGGACTGGAACACATGAGTTATGAGGAGAGGCTGAGGGAGCTGGGATTGTTTAGCCTGCAGAAGAGAAGAATGAGGGGGGATTTGATAGCTGCTTTCAACTACCTGAAAGGGGGTTCCAAAGAGGATGGCTCTAGACTGTTCTCAATGGTAGCAGATGACAGAACGAGGAGTAATGGTCTCAAGTTGCAGTGGGGGAGGTTTAGATTGGATATTAGGAAAAACTTTTTCACTAAGAGGGTGGTGAAACGCTGGAATGCGTTACCTAGGGAGGTGGTAGAATCTCCTTCCTTAGAGGTTTTTAAGGTCAGGCTTGACAAAGCCCTGGCTGGGATGATTTAACTGGGAATTGGTCCTGCTTTGAGCAGGGGGGTTGGACTAGATGACCTTCTGGGGTCCCTTCCAACCCTGATATTCTATGATTCTATGATTCTATGTTGGGGGATTGGTGTGTATGGGTGAGTGCTGGGGGGCTGGGTGGTACTGGGGTTCAGGGGGTGTATGGGTGGGTGCTGGGGGGTTGGGGGTGTATAGGTGGTACTGGGGGGCTGGGTAGTACCTGGGGGTTGGGGTGTATGGGTGGGAATCTGGAGCTGACTACTGGTGGTGGTGGGAGGAAGCCGGGCAGGGGGTAGCTGGAAGAGGCTGGGGCCAGCAGTGGGTTCCCTGTCCGCTTTGTCCCCTTTCCCCCCAGCTGCTCCCTCCTCATGGGTGGCTGGCAGAGGGAGCAGCGAGTGGCAGGACAGGGGCAGCGGCCCCAGATGCAGTGGGAGCACTGGCAGGTCTATGTGTGACACCGGGCAGCTGTGGGGGGAGGAAGACGGGGGGGGCGGGGGAGGTGCTGCAGGGAGCTAATACTGTGTGATGTCCCAGGTGAACCTCTCGTCTCCGGTGGTGGATACCAGTTGCTGGAACAAGCCCACCCTGGTCACCACGGCCCCCTACAAGGTGGATCTGTTCAATGGGCACATGGTCGGAGTTCTGCTCACCTCCATCTTCGTGGAGGCCCAGGGCAATGTGACGGTCGCCCACCTGGGCACGGCGGAGGGGCGCATCATGCAGGTAGACTTGGCTCCGCAGCTGTGCCGTCTCCATTCCCAGGGGGGGCTGCAATGCCAGCCCCTCCAGCAGGGGGCGACGTGCCCTGGGTTGCTCCAACGGTTTCCAAAGCCCACACAGGGCGTCCATCCTGTGGAACTGACATGGGCCGGATGAAATGGGGTGAATCGTGCCTGGACTTGGGGCTCTGTGGCTGACTGCCAGTTACAATGACCCGTGAGGCTGACTGGACTGTGCCCAATCCAAAGCACCTCCATTCCTTGCCCTGGTGCTATTGCTGCCACTACTGTAGCCTATCCGTGCCACTGGCTGGGCCTGGAGGAGGCAGCTGCCTCCATCCAGCCGTGTGGTCAGGCCACTGGCTGGGCCTGGGCAGCACTGGAGGACCGTGCGGACACCGTAGACCCCCACTTCCCTGGGATTGCAGAGGGCCGGGGCACGGTCCCCACCAAGGGCAGTGCTGCTCTCCTCCTGCGGGGGTCGGCTGGGCCATGCCCCCGGCTTTCCCTGGAGTTGCTAGCTCTCTGAATGCGGTCACTGTCCCCCCTCAGGTGGTGCTTCAGCGATCCAGCTCCTACACTGTCACCTTGGCTAATTTCTCCCTGGGCAAGGAGCTGCCGGTGCTGCGGGAGGTTGGTCGGCTGGAGGACTCTCTGTTCTTCGCCACTGGAAACAAGGTGAGACAGGCGAGTGTTTACCCCAACCTCGCTGGGCTGGGGTCTCCCCCTTTGCCTGGGTCGGGAAGCCACTCTCTGCCCTGGCCCCAAATGGGATCGGAGCCCTGGGCCACCAGCTGGTCTGTCTTGGGGAGATGTGCTGGGTGGGCCACAGGGTTCATTGCTGCCCCTCACCTGTGGCTGGGAGGCAGCAATGGCTGTGCCCAAGGGCATGCCAACTGCAGGAAGGCTGTGTCCTGCCCTCCTGGTGCTGAGGGGTGTGTGGGGGTCCCCGTTCGCGGGTGCTTTGCGGCTGCCCCGAGATCTCCGCGAGCCTCAGCCCTGTGCACTGATGTTCTCCCTTTCTCCTGAAGGTGTCTCAAGTTTCCCTCACTGGCCCGGGCTGCCGCCACTTTCTGACATGCCAGCGCTGCCTGCGGGCGGAGCGCCTCATGCAGTGCGGCTGGTGCGGGGGCACGTGCACTCGGCAGAAGGACTGCGCGGCACTATGGACCGAGAAGAGCTGCCCTCCTGTCCTCACTGATGTAGGCCCTTGAACCACCCCCTGCTCTGTCCTTCCTGTTCCTCCTTGGACGCTGTGCTGGCTCCTGCCCTGCCTGGGGCCCTCGCTTTGCACTTCGTTTTTTCCGGTGCAGCTTGATACGTCCCCGTGCTACATGCAGCCCCTAGGGCCCCGGACCCAAAACCCACCTGCTGCCGACCCTGCCTTGGAGGGAGTGGTATCTCCTGGCTGCTGCGCTGATCCAGCTTTTCCTTTGTGCTCACCCCCGATCCACTTTCCTAGCTCTGCAGTAACCTGGGCATTTCCCTCCCCCCAGAGGGGCTGGCAGGGGACAAGCTGCTCTTGGCTGGGACTGGCTTTGTGCCAGGCTGGGGGGAGAGGGCAGGGTTTGTCGCCTATCAGAGGAAAATGGGCATTGCCAGACTGGGTCAGAGTGGAGATCCGTCCAGCCCAGCCTCCCAGGGGCCAGCGCTGAGGTTTCAGACGTGTCAGCCCTCCACAGGCAGGTCTCCTCTTGGTCTCTAATAGGTTGGTTTAAGCTCTGAGGCAGAAGGTTCAATATCCTGCCAGATTTGTTATTAATTATGACAGCTCTGGCTATTCTCGTTGTCCGTGCCCACATCCAATCCCTTTTTGCATTGTGTCGAGTTCCTGGCCTCTGCAGCTTCTGGTGGCAGTGAGTTCCACAGTCTGCCCACATGTGGTGTGTAGAAGTATTGCCTTTTATTGGTTTGAATGTCCCATTTTTTAATGTCATTGTTTGTCCTCTGCCCTTGTGCTATGAGACAGGGAGAACAGATGCCCCCGTCCTCCCTTCCCTAGATCAGGCGATATTTTATTGCCATTTCTCATGTGCCCTCTCATTCGGGTCTAAGGTAACTGACCTATGTCACAGACTCTCAGGACGTGTGCTCTTTCTCAGCTCCATACAGTCCCTGGAAGGAACAGCCTTCAGTGCAACAGCCCTTCTCAGGGGTCTGCTCTCTCTCGGGGGGTAAGCCATAGGCCCCCCGGAACTGCACCTCTCTGACCGCACCTCTCTGAGTAGGCAAGAGGGGGCCTACTGTTGCCATGGGCCCCCTCAGGGAGTCCACTTGCTCTGGACCCCCAGAGGGAATGATGCAACCTGATCTCTAGACTGAAGTGACTCTCAGCCAGTGTAAAACAGGAGGGTTTATTGAGCATCTGAACACAGCACAGGAAACTCTCTAGGCCCTCAGGCCTAGCAACCCTCAGCACCGTACATCTAGGTCTCTCCTGCATCCAGGTGGGCTCTGGTTGCTCTCTCTCCCCAGTCCAGAAGCCCCCTCCTTCCAGCCGATCATCCTATATCATCTCTCAAAACAGCTCCTCCCCTGTCCTTTGTCTTCCCTCCCAGGTAAACAGGTGCCTGGGGCTCCTATATTCCATCCTTTGTTGCCCACTGGCCTAAACTGGTGGGTCAGGTCACCGGGGTCCTCTCTCCTCAGCCCTTTGTCCTCCCACTGCCCAGAACCGGCTGACTGCCAAGCTGGGCTTGGCCTCCTGGTCACCAGCTCACTGGTTGCTAGGGTCCCCCATCTCCAGGCAGTTTTCCGGGGTCCCCACTGCTAGGCGAGGCCACACGTGGTCCTCTGCAACAACAAACTTCCTCTCCCACCACCTCCCTCCTGCAGAGACTCAGACAGGGCAGAGGAGCTGGTAAGCACGCTCAGAAGCAGCTGCTAATATGTCAGAATTGTTTTTCCAATCGCCATAGCCTTGTTAGTTCAGCTTCCCCTCAAACCTTGCCAAAGGCCAGCTCCCCAGCAAGGGCTGGTTACACCGAGGGCTCAGTATTGCTGCAGAATGTGAGGATAAGGGCTCCATTGTGCTTGGCACTGTACACACCCAGGGTAACAGATAGCTGTCCTGACCAGCTCACAGTCAAAACAGAGCAGAGAGACGCAGGGAGGGAAAGGCCTCAAACTCACCAGCAGAGTGACCCATGGGATGGCAGCAAGTGGTTTAAAAACATCTCTCTGTTAACATGGGGAAATGCCTTCTTTTCCCCTCATCTGAGCCCCTGGATGGCTGGTCATAGAATATCAGGGTTGGAAGGGACCTCAGGAGGTCATCTAGTCCAACCCCCTGCTCAAAGCAGGACCAATCCCCAATTTAATCATCCCAGCCAGGGCTTTGTCAAGCCTGACCTTAAAAACTTCTAAGGAAGGAGATTCCACCACCTCCCTAGGTAACCCATTCCAGTGTTTCACCACCCTCCTAGGGAAAAAGTTTTTCCTAATATGCAACCTAAACCTCCCCCACTGCAACTTGAGACCATTACTCCTTGTTCTGTCATCTGCTATCACTGACAACAGTCTAGATCCATCCCCTTTGGAACCCCCTTTCAGGTAGTTGAAAGCAGCTATCAAATCCCCCCTCATTCTTCTCTTCTGCAGACTAAACAACCCCAGTTCCCTCAGCCTCTCCTCATAAGTCATGTGTTCCAGTCCCCTAATCATTTTTGTTGCCCTCCGCTGGACCTTTTCCAATTTTTCCACATCCTTGTTGTAGTGTGGGGCCCAAAACTGGACACAGTACTCCAGATGAGGCCTCACCAATGTTGAATAGAGGGGAACAATCACGTCCCTCGATCTGCTGGCAATGCCCCTACTTCTACATCCCAAAATGCCTTTGGCCTTCTTGGCAACAAGGGCACACTGTTGACTCATATCCAGCTTCTCGTCCACTGTAATCCCTAGGTCCTTTTCTGCATAAGTGCTGCCTAGCCATTCGATCCCTAGTCTGTAGCAGTGCATGGGATTCTTCCGTCCTAAGTGCAGGACTCTGCACTTGTCCTTGTTGAATGTCATCAGATTTCTTTTGGCCCAATCCTCTAATTCGTCTAGGTCCCTCTGTATCCTATCCCTACCCTCCGGAGTTTCTACCCCTCCTCCCAGTTTAGTGTCATCTGCAAACTTGCTGAGGGTGCAATCCACACCATCCTTCAGATCATTTATGAAGATATTTGAACAAAACCGGCCCCAGAACCGACCCTTGGGGCACTCCGCTCGATACCGGCTGCCATCTAGACATGGCGCCATTGATCACTACCCGTTGAGCCCGACAATCTAGCCAACTTCCTATCCACCTTATAGTCCATTCATCCAGCCCATACTTCTTTAACTTACTGGCGAGAATAATGTGGGAGACCGTGTCAAAAGCTTTGCTAAAATCAAGGAACAACTCGTCCACTGCTTTCCCCTCATCCACAGAGCCAGTTATCTCGTCATAGAAGGCAATTAGATTAGTCAGGCATGACTTTCCCTTGGTGAATCCATGCTGACTGTTCCTGATCACTTTCCTCTCGTGTAAGTGCTTCAGAATTGATTCCTTGAGGACCTGCTCCATGATTTTTCCAGGGACTGAGGTGAGGCTGACTGGCCTTTAGTTCCCAGGATCCTCCTTCTTCCCTTTTCTAAAGATGGGCACTACATTAGCCTTTTTTCAGTTGTCTGGGACTTCCCCCGATCGCCATGAGTTTTCAAAGATAATGGCCAATGGCTCTGCAATCACATCCGCCATCTCCTTTAGCACTCTTGGATGCAGCGCATCCGGCCCCATGGACTTGTGCTCGTCCAGCTTTTCTAAATAGTCCCGAACCACTTCTTTCTCCACAGAGGGCTGGTCACCTCCTCCCCATGCCCAGTGCAGTAGTCTGGGAGCTGACCTTGTTCGTGAAGACAGAGGCAAAAAAAGCACGGAGTACATTAGCTTTTTCCACATCCTCTGTCACTAGATGCCTCCCTCATTCAGTAAGGGGCCCACACTTTCCTTGACTGACTTCTTGTTGCTAACATACCTGAATAAACCCTTCTTGTTACTCTTAACATCTCTTGCTAGCTGAAATTCCAGGTGTGATTTGGCCTTCCTGATTTCACCCCTACATGTCTGAGCAATATTTTTATACTCTGGTCATTTGTCCAATCTTCCACTTCTTGTAAGCTTCTTTTTTGTGCTTAAGATCAGCAAGGATTTCACTGTTAAGCCAAGCTGGTCGCCTGCCATATTTACTATTCTTTCTACACATCGGGATGATTTGTCCCTGTAACCTCAATAGGGATTCTTTAAAATACAGCCAGCTCTCCTGGACTCCTTTCCCCCTCATGTCATTCTCCCAGGGGATCCTGCGTGTCAGTTCCCTGAGGGAGTCAAAGTCTGCTTTTCTGAAGTCCAGGGTCCATATTCTGCTGCTCTCCTTTCTTCCCTGTGTCAGGATCCTGAACTCGACCATCTCATGGTCACTGCCTCCCAGATTCCCATCCACTTTTGCTTCCCCTACTAATTCTTCCCTGTTTGTGAGCAGCCAGTCAAGAAGAGCTCTGCCCCTAGTTGGTTCCTCCAGCAATTGCACCAGGAAATTGTCCCCTACACTTTCCAAAAACTTCCTGGATTATCTGTGCACCGCTGTATTGCTCTCCCAGCAGATATCAGGGAGCTTGAAGTCTCCCATAGGAACCAGAGCCTGCGATCTAGTAACTTCCGTTAGTTGCCGGAAGAAAGCCTCGTCCACCTCATCCCCCTGGTCTGGTGGTCTATAGCAGACTTCCACCACGACATCACCCTTGTTGCTCACTCTTCTAAACTTCTAAGCTTAATCCAGAGACTCTCAGGTTTTTCTGCAGTTTCATACCGGAGCTCTGAGCAGCCATGCTGCTCTCTTACGTACGATGCAACTCCCCCCTCCCCCCCCTTCTCTGCCCTGCCTGTCCTTCCTGAACAGTTTATATCCATCCATGACAGTACTCCAGTCATGTGAGTTATCCCACCAAGTCTCGGTTATTCCAATCACATCGTAATTGCTTGACTGTGCCAGGACTTCCAGTTCTCCCTGCTTGTTTCCCAGGCTTCTTGCATTTGTGTATAGGCACTTGAGATAACTCGCTGATCGTCCCTCTTTCTCCGTATGAGGCAGGAGCCCTCCCCTCTTGCACGCTTCTGCTCATGCTTCCTCCCGGTATCCCACTTCCCCACTTACCTCAGGGCTTTGGTCTCCTTCCCCCAGTGAACCTAGTTTAAAGCCCTCCTCACTTGGCCGGAATCCGTGCAGCACTCACAGACATCTCCTCCTCATGCCCAGCTGCTAAGTTGCATTAGAAGAAGTTATAAACCTCAGTACAGGAAGAGGTTGTTTTCCCAGCATTGCCCTTCCACAGGACTGCTGCCTGCCGGGGAGCTACCATGGGCCCCCTCAGGGCGTCCTGCTGGGTGGGGAGCTGACAGGAGTTTCCTTGGGGCGTCCAGCTGGGCAGAGAGCTGTCATGGGTCCCCTTGGGTTGTGCTGCCGGTCGGGGAGCAGTCACGGGCCCCCTCAGGGCGGCCTGCGGGACAGGGAGCTGTTAGAGGCCCCCTAGGGACAGCCCACTGCATGGGGGCCATCACAAGTCCCCTCGGTGCTGGGGAACTCTTCAGCTTGCGCTGTTGCAGCTCCTGCCTGGGGCTCTGGAAGCTGCTGGTTTGGTCCCTGGGGTGTGAGCCACGCTGGGTCCATCACGTCAGCACTGGCTGCAGTGGCCGCAGGGACATCACTTGGGTTTGGACAAGGGGGAGGGTGGGCACGGCAGCCAGTGCCATCCACTGCTGCCCCCCGCCCCCACGAAGGAGTCATGCCCTGTCAGTGCTCTGGGGTCCCCTCAGCCTGCCATTGGATGTGCCTCCTGCCATGGCCCAGGGCTCACCAAGAGGCTTTGTCACAGGGCCAGCCTCTGGCCTGCACCCTCCCTTCCCCACCTGGGCTGCCCACCTGCTGCCCATGGGCTGGGTGGGAGAGCCCTGTGCTGCTGTTGGGGATCCAAGGGCGAAGAGCCGGGATGTCGGGGGGACTGGGGTGGGCTGGGGATGTGACACTGTCTTGTTTCCCCTCAGTTCTACCCCCGAAGTGCCCCCTTGCATGGCCGCACCCGTGTGACACTCTGCGGGATGGGCTTCCAGTCGCGCCCGCACTTCGCCACCGCCGTTGGGTCCCCCGTGGCCAGCAGCACCTACTGGGTGACGGTGGGGCAGAGGACCTGCACTGTGCTGCCTGAGAAGAGCCTGGACAGGAGGTAGGGGGCGGCGGAGGGGCTCTGGGTCTGCTGTTGGGGCTGCCACTGACCTGGGGATAGAGGTGTCTCCTGCTGGCTTGCCTGGGGATGGGGCCTTCCTTCCTGGCCAGCAGCAGCTCAGAACATGGGTGGGGAGGGGGAAGAGGCACCTTCCCTATTCAGCATACGGGGTGCTTGGGGCACACACCCCCTACCTCCCCCAGTTTAGGTAGCAGGGGGAAGGCAGAATGGGGGTGGTTCTTGGGTCAGCTGCCTCTCCCCCTTGCCCGCCACCCCCGGTGGACCTCTCTCTGTAGTATGACCCGGCCCCTGCTCTGTCTGCATTTGAGCCACAACATCTCCCCAGGTGAGGCCCCTCCATGTACTGGTGCCAGAAGCTGGCAGCTTTCTTGAGTGGAAATGGGCTGGCAGTGCAGGCTGGGCTCAGCTCCTCCAGGCACGCAGCCACTGGCCTTTCCCTACGGCCCGAGTCACCAGTGCTGCCACCCCAGCGAGTTCTGCCCCATGTCATGCAGCCACTGCCCCAAGCAACTGGGCCTTTTAGCAGGGGGCTGGAGTATTATGGGCAGGAGGGGCTGTGGGTTGGGAATGAGGGGCACCAGCTGGTTTGCCATCAGACCTAGAGCACGGGCAGCTGGTGGCACCCACTGGGGTTTGTACGAGAGGTGTTCACCGATTGCCAGGGTGCTTTTGGTGACAGAGTCCAGTGACTTTCCCTCTCGGAGCCGCGGCTCCCCAGCTGGTGCCCCTGCTCTGCGGGTGGGGATAGAAGACGAGAGGTGTGCGGAAGGAGAAGCAGAGGCACCTGGACCCTGCTGTTGTCCTCTCTGGCTGGGGTGGGAGGTTGGGCCTGCCCCCGTGTCTCAGTGCTCCCTGCTGTGTCCCGCAGGCCCCCCGTGCTGCCCCGCACCAAGGCCGCTGTGGACGTGCTGGTATGTGAGCTGGAGCTGAACAGCACCCAGGCGGTGGCGGTGCCCGTCACGGTTCAGCTCACCATCGAGGAGCAGACGAGGGACCCGCCCTTCTATGTCAGTGGCTCCTCATCCCTCAGTGGCTTCGTCTTCGTGGTACGTCCTTTCCCCTGCCCGCCACCCAGCTGCAGGGACAGCCCCAGAGGAGAGCTGGCCCCAGCAGCCGGAACCAGGGGTCAGCAATGGAGCCTGCCTGGGAAAGCTGCCCGTCAGTACCAGCTGGGACCCTGGGGACGGCAGCCCCCAGAGCAGGGTTGGCAGAGTGCCCCGCCTGCTCTCCAGCCAGCAGCTCATTCTTATCATGTGTCGGGCCCGGCTCCTCTGTAAGCAGGGCCAGGTGCCCAGCTGGGACCTCCCCCCCCACCAGTGTACACAGCGCACCCCTGGGCACTGGGGGGGGCATCAGTGGTGCCAGGCATTGCAGCATCTCATCACCACCCCTCCCTCTCTGGAGGCCGGGCTGAGCCTGCGGCCAGCTTCCTCCCTGATGGAGCTCCTATGGCAGCCGCTGGACAGCCCCAGCATGTGCAATGGAGACAGCTCCACTGCGGCAGCCATGGGCTGCCCTGCCCTGGCATCCCGTTTTGTGTCAGAGGGGCAGGACCCTCCCCAGGAGCTCGCCCTCTCCCTGGGCCGTGCTTTGTGTCCGGCAGGGAGGTGTCTGGCTGGCGGGCTGCATGCTGGAGAGGTTCTCCTCTGGGGATGCCCTGCCCCCCGCTTCCCTTGGTAAAGGCCCCGTGCCCTCTGTGGCTCCACAGGTGCCGAACATCACTGCCATCCACCCTGCATATGGCCCGCTGGCCGGCGGGACCCAGCTCTCCATCCGGGGCCGAAACCTGACCGTGGGCAGCAGCTGGAGAGTGACGCTCGCTGGGGTGGAGTGCCCCGTGGTGGGGCAGCAGAGGTACAGCAAGCATGGAGCTCTCAGTGCTGCATTGGCTTGGGGGGTTGGGCTTGGGCCATTGGCTCTAGGTCAGCGGAGCTAAAGCCTTTGTGTTCGACAGCCAGACGGTGGGCGGCCCAGCTGGGAAGGGTTAGGTCAGAATGGCCTGGGGGCTACTTTGCCTGAATTGGACTCAGCTGGTGTTGCTCTGGTTGGCATGGGTCAGCATGGCCAGGTGTGGCTGAACGGGCTGGGTTGGCATGGCCGAATGTGGCCGGGCCGGTGCGGCCAGGTCGGCATGTCCGGGTGTGGCTGGGTTGGTGTGGCTGGGTCGGCATGGCTGGATGCAGCTGGATCGGTGTGGCTGGGTCATTGTCACCGGGTGTGGCTGGGTCGCTCTGGCTGGGCCAGCGTGTCTGGGCGTGGCTGGGTTTGCATGGCTCGGTCGGCGTGGCCAGGTGTGGTGTGGCCGGGTCAGCGTGGCTGAGCAGCTGGGTTAGTGTGGCCGGGTGCTGCCAGCTTCGTATGGGTGTGTGTGCTCCATGGAGGTCATGTTTATACATAAACACCCATGTGGGGTCCTTTGGATGGTGTCTGGTGCCACGGACCCTCTGCAGTGTGTTAGAGCACACATCTGTCTGCAGTGCCCGGGGTCCATCTGGGGGGCAGAGCCCTCGCGGGGGAGCTCCTGCCCAGGACTGCCAAGGCCTGTTGGGGCACGGATGGGGCCGGGCCCGCTTCCAGCCACGGGATGGCCAGTGTGGGGGTGTTGGCTGTGCTGGTCCAGGCGGGTCACTGCAGGGAATGGGGTTGGGCCAGGGTGGGTTGCGGGGCAGCCTGCAGCCCAGCCAGGGGTCTGTTTGTCTCCATGTTGTGCTGTCCTCTGTCCCCAGCCACACCGAGATCCGCTGCATCAGCCCTGCAGCCAGCAACCTGCACTCTGTCCCCGTGGACGTGTGGATAGATGGGCAGCAGTTCCCTGCCCCGGAGCCATTCCAGTACCGCCCAGACCCCGTCCTCCATGACATCTCCCCCACCTGCGCCTACGAGTGAGTCCCCTGACCCCCCGCCCTTCCCTGGTCACAGTTCCCCACTCCATCCCTCCGGTCACAGCTACTCCAACCCCCTGGTCACAGCCCCCCTCCTCCTCTCCCTCCAACCCCCCTTCTCCCGATCACAGCCACTCCAACCCCACAGGTCACATCATCCCCACTCCAACCCCTCCCAATCACAGCCCCACTCCAACCCCTCCAGATCACAGCCCCTCTGATCACAGCCCTTCACCTCTAACCCCCCAGGTCACAGTCCCCCGTAACGATGCGATCTCTGGCGGGACACAACTGAGTATCAGTTCAGGACAAATTGCTTAGAGCAGGGCAGTTATAGCCCAAAGCTGGAGTTCTTTACTATTAAGGCATGCCAAACCAGCCAAACAGAGAGGACTTCTGTCACCCAGAAGCATAGCACAAGTTTGAAATACAGACAGTATAGAGTCAATACTTATAACTTTAAATACAAAAATGATACATGCATACAGATAGCATAATCATAACCAGCAAATCATAACCTTTTCATAGACACCTCACTCAACAAACTTGTACAATATTTGCTGCAAATATATAACAGTGGTTGCAACAATGATCTATATGGTCACAGTTCTTGTCAATAACGTCACCCTCCCCCGCCAACTCTTCTCTCCAACCTCCCCGGATCACAGCCTCCCTCCCCCACCCCCAGCTTGCATGGCCTCCTCCCTGCAGGGAACGGTGAAGAGCCTAGCACTCTGTGCCCAGCAGCCTGGCCCATTTCACCAGGCTGGGGACCCCCTTCTGGGAGCCAAGGCATCTCCCCTCCAGGCTGGGGATGGGGCAGCCTCAGCCTCCTCCTGCAAGCCCATGACATGTGGGAGTTCACAGCATGGGGGGTTAGGAACAGGGGGCACAGCTCCCCTTGTGGGCTCCAGAGGCTCCAGGCAGCGTGTCTAGCCAGTGTACCCCAGTTGGGATTCCCCCGGCCCCTGGGTCCCCAGCGCATCCCGTATGGGGTTCCCCCGGCCTATGGGTGCCCAGCACATCCCGTACGGGGTTCCCCCAGCCCCATGATCCCCAGCGTGCCCAACACTGGAGGTTGGCTCGGACCCGGGGTCCCCAGCGCATCCCGTCCAGGGCTCTGCTGGCCCCGGGGTCCCCAACGTGCCCCAGCCAGGGACTCCCCCTAGCTGGTAGGCCCCCAGTGTGTCTTGGCCGGGTCTCCCCCCGCCCCAGAGTCCCAGGCTCAGGGCTGTGCTTCACGCTCCATGTGGCAGTGACCTATGACCTTCTGTAGGGGTTCGACCCTCACCATCCACGGCACCAGCCTGGACTCCGTGTATTACCCCAGAATCCAGTTTGTGGATGCCAGCGTGGCAACGGAGGCCAAGGTGAGTGTGAGGGGTGGGGCAGGGCCGGCATCGTGGGCCAGGGCCGGCTGAGGCTGGGGAATCACAGTCAGGGAGCTGGGCATGATGTGCTGAAGGGGGAGAGAAAAACGGACTTGAAATGCTGGTCGGGCCTGGTGCAGGCAGGCGCTGAAGGAGATTCCACCCAGTCTGCCAGTGCCCCCCAGTCCCACCCCACAAGCCCTGCTAGCCCAGCCCTGGGCTCCTCCCCAGCTCTGCTAGTGCCCCTCAATCCTGACCCGCAGCCCCTGCTAGCCCAGCCCTGGGCTTTGCTCAGTGCCGGCCCGCAGGCCCTGCTGTCCCACTCTTGGGCCCAGGCTGTGCCAGTGACAGGGGGTTGTGCATTCACCAGGAGGTGACTGAGAGCTCACACACTCATGTCACTGGTGGCTCTGGTCTCCAGTTGTCCAAGTGGGTGCGTTAACTTGGTGCGGCAGCCCCGGGCTCCCTGCAGACGTAGTGTGCATGTAGCGGGGTTGAGGGGATGGCGAGAGGCCTGGGCTGGATCCGTAGCGTGTAGCCGGCAGAGCGAAGGGCGGCGCGGGCCTGGGCCTGACGTGGGGCCTGGGAGCCAGGTCCGGGCCATGTCCGAGGAGCACCGGGTCCCCTCGCCACTGTGAGCTCTGCTCCCGGGCACGCTCCTTCCAACACGCCCTGTCCCCTCAGGTGTGCATGGGGCCACGCTCCCCCGAGCAGCTGGTGTGCCAGAGCCCAGCCTACCCCTTCGCTAACAGGGTGGAGAGCGCCCAGGGCAACCTGACTGTGCTGCTGGACGGCTCCCCCGGACGCAGGGCCTTCCGCGTGCATTACTACCCCCCGCCCCAGATCCTGCCCTTCGAGCACGATGACGACACTTACCACCTCAAGTCTGGTGACCACGAGATTGAGATCCATGTACGGAGGGGGCTGGGAGAGGCGGGGAACCCAGGCAGGGGTGGGACTGAGGGAGCCAGGCCAGCCCTGCATTGGTGGGCTGGGGGCCAGAACAATGCCAGAGAGAACTGGGGGGCAGAGAGATGAGGGCCCAGGGCATGGGATGATGGCTGGTGGGGATGGGATAGGGGAGGGCCCAGGTCATGGAGGGATGGCCAGTGCAGGAGGGCCTGGGGCCGGACAATGGCTGGTGCGGGAGGGCCTGGGGCCATGGCCAGTGGACTGAGGACCTGCAGGGGGACGAATGCCTGGCCCTGAAGGACAGGGACACTGGTTAGGGCGAGAGCCCAGGAATGGTAGCCCAGGGGAGAGGCTTGGCAGCTGGAACTGAGGTTGGGATGGTGGGATGCCCTCGGGAGGGGTGGGCCTGGGGGTTTCTGGGGAAGGCGGGGGGGGCTCAGGCGGTGTGGTTCCTGGAGGCGGCAGGTCAGCTCAGGCCGGGAAGGCAACCTGGGGGCTGGGGGGCGGCTCAGGTGGCGGGAGGGGTTCCAGGGAGAGGCTGGGGAGTTCCCAGGGGAGGTGGGGCAGCTCAGGCCAGGGGGATCCTGGCGGAGGTGGGGCGGTTCAGGATGGGGAGTTCTCTAGCTAGGGTCGGGGGATCCCTGTGACGGTGGCTGTGTGCGCAGCAAATCGGGCTGGACGTGTTGGTGGGCTGCATGAGAATCACTGTGACGGTGGCGGGCCGGGACTGCCATCCCAGTGTGCTGAAGAACGAGGTGACCTGCCGGATCCCCAGGAACCTGAGCCTCCCCCTGGATGGAGCCCCTGTGCAGGTAGAGCCAAGCTTGGGGGAGGGCAGCACCCGCCCTAAGCTGGGCTCCCAGTGGCTTTGCCCCCCTTCCCCCTGCTGGTGCAGAGCCCAGGGAGATCTGGCCTGGCTCTCGGCTATGGCAGCACTGCCTAGATTGGCCCTCTGCCCTGTGGCCTCTGGCCTGCAGCCTGCCACCCCCCCTCTCTGCCCTTCTCCTTTGGACAGTGCTCAGGGCTGAACATGCCCTGAGTGCAGCTGCCTGGGAAGGCTTCCCTGGTCTCTGGAGGGCACCAGGCCTGTGGAGACCGGCTGCCCCTCTGCCAGCCAGCTGCTGGGCTTCACTCCTGGTTCTGCTGCCTGGCACGCAGTGAGGAGGGCACGGGAAGCAGCGTCCAGCCCAGCATGCAGCTACAGGCTGTGCCAGCTGCTTGTTGTCTGCCCTGGGTGCAAAGTGGTGGCCGGGGGGTCCCCGCTGGAGCCGTTATTCCTGCCAGCTGAGCCCATGTGGTGACCCTGTCAGTCTCTTTCCCCTGGCATCTCTGCGCCATGGCATGTGCTGGGGTGGCATCTCTGATGCCCATGTCCTGCCCTACCTGCCCCACCCAGTGCTCACTGCCAAGATGAGTAAGTGCCAGGCTTTGCAGGGGTGCTGCTGGGCAGGGCTGAGAGGGGGCAAAGCGCAGGGGCTGGGGTACCTGACATGCATGCTCGGAGCAGCCCTGTAACAGAAGGGTGTAGCTCCCTGGGCCCAGGGATGGGAAATGTCCCCTGGGCCATCAGGCGACAGTGCCTGCCCTGCCAGGGGAGCGTGGGTCGGGGCTGGTCATGTGCCACATGCGCTGCCTGCTCCTGGGCCCTCTGTTGTCCCACCAGCCCTGGGCGCTGCATCCCTTGGTACCCAGGAGACCTGTGTGGAGAGGAGCTCCCTTCATGCCAGCCCCAGCCCTCTGGAGAACCTGGGCAGGAGCGCCAGTGCTTCAGGGAGGCAGAGTGGCATGGTGCATAGAGTACTGGGCTGGGACTCAGGAGACCTGGACAAGTCATGGCCATGCCCCGTGCCTCGGTTTCCCCATCTGCAAAACAGGGCTAAAGGCACTGACCTTGGCAGAGCACACTGAGATTGCTGGGTGAAAGTACTAGATAAGAGCTGGGGTGGTGGTCAGCGCAGGGGGGTATGGGCAAGTCCCCCCAATCCTGCAGATGGCTTAGGGATCCATTCTCTGCCTGCTGGCTGCCGGGACACTGACTGCCTGCCCTCTTCTTCCCCAGATCTGTGTGAATGGTGCCTGTCAGGACCTGGGCTGGGTGGTGGCCACCATCTCCCCGGACCCCCTGACTGGCATCCTCTTGGGCACCATCACCACCTTCATGTTCGGCTGCCTCCTGGCATTCCTGGTGCTGAAATGCAGACGCAGGAGGAAGATGGGTAATTCCCCTCCCTCACACAGGGCATCGCACCCCTGAGCCTGCCATGGTCCCATTCCCACAGGCACTGACCGTTGTGTCACACGCCCTCTGCTCTGGCAACGTCCACTCCTGTTCTGGGCCCTCAGCTGGGTGGCATATGCCTTTCCTGGGTGAATGGGACTGTGCCCCACGACCATGGAGGAGGTGTCTTCTGGCATTATGGGCAATGTGCCCATCACCCTGCTATCTAGGCACCAAGAAACTGCCCCCCGCCCCACATTGTTACTGATTCTGTGCCAGTCCTTAGGGTGCTGGCGCCGAGTGGGCCTGGGCCTCCCGTATTCTCAGTGGGGCAGGGGTCTGAGTGATGCCGGTGGGATAGCTGGTGCCCAGCAGAAGTGGGCCAGGCCATGAGGTCAGCGTTGGCTCTTGAGGCTCTGAACGGCTTTCTTTTCCATGTCTGCAGGGACCGAGAATTTGGAGATGCTGGTGAATCCCAATGGGAATACCCCCAGATTCGCCCTGCTACCCTCCTCCATGGACTACCGGGATGTGCAGGGTAAAGAAATGGCATGCCGGGGGGCACTGCTCACTGTGCCTGCAGCCTGTGGGGCCAGGGTTGAGTCACCGTCTTTGCAGCAGACCCCCTCAACCCCGGCCGGTTGAGGGCCCAGCTTAGGGCAGCCCTGCCCATGTTAGAGCTGCCCCAGCACATCAGTCTGCTCCCTTCTGTTCCTCCCCAGTGGGCGGGTCTTGGCCGTGGCTATGTGCAGCTCCTGCCCGCTGGCCCTTGCCGGCCGTGGGACCCCCGCCCATAAGCTCCCAGCTCTGCAATGCTTGGGGGCCCGCGCGGGGCTGGTGGGCATTGATTGGAAGACCCTGGGGATTTTCCGAGGGGCAGTTCATCCCTCTCCCCCAGCGGGGAGCAGGTGGCAGGGCACGCAGGCTGATCTGGCAGAGAAGAAGGGTTTTGCCAGGGTCTCACTGTGACTTTCCTCTCTCTGTCTGGTTCCTAGCGGTGCTTCCCCCAGCCGCCACTCCCAGTGGTGGCTTTGCCAGCAGGCGCTTCCGAGATGCCTCCTACACGGGCAGTAGTGACGGCTCTGCCATGCCGCTCGTGAGGATGCCATCCTGCTGCATCGAAAACCTCCGTCCTGAGCTGCTGGAGGAGGTGAAGGATGTCCTGATCCCAGAGGAGCGGCTGCTAACACACCGGGACCGGGTCATTGGCAAAGGTGAGTGTTGGGCCGGGCTGGGCCCACCTGGCACCCGAAGCGTGGTACAGTGAGCTCTGTAGTATGCAAGGTCTTGGAAAAAATTTTGAAGGAGAAAGTAGTTAAGGACATTGAAGTCAATGGTAAATGGGACAAAATACAACATGGTTTTACAAAAGGTAGATCGTGCCAAACCAACCTGATCTCCTTCTTTGAGAAAGTAACAGATTTTTTAGACAAAGGAAACGCAGTGGATCTAATTTACCTAGATTTCAGTAAGGCATTTGATACCGTGCCACCTGGGGAATTATTAGTTAAATTGGAAAAGATGGTGATCAATATGAACATTGAAAGGTGGATAAGGAATTGGTTAAAGGGGAGACTACAGCGGGTCCTACTGAAAGGTGAACTGTCAGGCTGGAGGGAGGTTACCAGTGGAGTTCGTCAAGGATTGGTTTTGGGACCAATCTTATTTAATCTTTTTATTATTGACCTTGGCACAAAAAGTGGGAGTGTGCTAATAAAGTTTGCGGATGATACAAAGCTGGGAGGTATTGCCAATTTAGAGAAGGACCAGGATATCATACAGGAGGATCTGGATGACCTTGTAAACTGGAGTAATAGTAATAGGATGAAATTTAATAGTGAAAAGTGTAAGGTCATGCATTTAGGGATTAATAATAAGAATTTTAGTTATAAGCTGGGGACGCATCAATTAGAAGTAATGGAGGAGGAGAAGGACCTTGGTTGATCATAGGATGACTATGAGCTGGCAATGTGATATGGCTGTGAAAAAAGCTAATGCGGTCTTGGGATGCATCAGGAGAGTTATTTCCAGTAGGGATAAGGAGGTTTTAGTACCGTTATACAAGGCACTGGTGAGACCTCATCTGGAATACTGTGTGCAGTTTTGGTCTCCCATGTTTAAAAAGGATGAATTCAAACTGGAACAGATACAGAGAAGGTCTACTAGGATGATCTGAGGAATGGAAAACTTGTCTTATGAAAGGAGACTCAAGGAGCTTGGGCTTGTTTAGCCTAACTAAAAGAAGGTTGAGGGGAGATATGATTGCTCTCTATAAATATATCAGAGGGATAAATACCGGAGAGGGAGAGGAATTGTTTAAGCTCAGTACCAATGTGGACACAAGAACAAATGGATATAAACTGGCCACCAGGAAGTTTAGATTTGAAATTAGATGAAGGTTTCTAACCAGGAGTGAAGTTTTGGAACAGCCTTCCAAGAGAAGCAGTGGGAGCAAAAGATCTATCTGGCTTCAAGATTAAACTCGATAAGTTTATGGAGGAGATGGTATGATGGGATAACATGATTTTGGTAACTAATTGATCTTTAAATATTCATGGTAAATAGGCCTAATGGCCTGTGATGGGATGTTAGATGGGGTGGGATAAATACTGAAAGAATTTTCTGTAGTATCTGGCTGGTGAATCTTGCCCCTGTGCTCAGGGTTTAGCTGATCACCATATTTGGGGTCGGGAAGGAATTTTTCTCCAGGGCAGATTGGAAGAGGCCCTGGAGGTTTTTCGCCTTCCTCTGTAGCATCGGGCACAGGTCACTTGCTGGAGGATTCTCTGCTCCTTGAAGTCTTTAAACCACGATTTGAGGACTTCAATAGCTCAGACATAGGTGAGGTTTTTCAGGAGTGGGTGGGTGAGATTCGGTGGCCTGCGTTGTGCAGGAGGTCAGACTAGATGATCATAATGGTCCCTTCCAACCTTAGTATCTATGAATCTATGAATTGCGGCTGTGTCGGGCCTGCGTGGCACCCGCAGCCTGGCACAGTGAGTGCCAAGCCATAGCTGAGTCGGGCTGGACCTGTGTGGCATGCACTGACTGGCACAAGGAGTGCTGAGCCGTAGCTGGGTTGGGCTGGGCCCATGTAGCACATGCAGCCTGGCACAGTGAGTGCTGGGCTGGGCCTGCATGGCACATGCAGACCGGCACAGTGAGTGCTGAGCCTTAGCTGGGTTGGGTTGGGCCTGCATGGCACCAGCAGCATGGCACAGTGAGCGCTGAGCCATAGATGGCTCTGGCTGGGCCTGTGTGGCACGTACAGCCTGGCACAGTGAGCACTGAGCCATAGCTGGGTTGGACTGGGCCTGCCTGGCATTCCCTCTGTGTCAAGGTCCCACCCCAGAGAAGCTCAGTACTAACGAGAGCCCCCATGTGATGCTGATCCAGCACAGATGGCATTCATCCATGGCATGGCATGCGGGGTTGGGCACGGGTGGGGAGTCCATACCCGCCGCAGCCTCGCTGCCTGGCCCCTGCTGCTCCCCTGGTCGGAGGGGCCGGTCCCTGCCCAGGGTTCGGGCTGAGCAGCACTGCAGTTTGGCAGCATCAAGCTCAGCCCATTCCCCTTAGTGCCAGGTGCATGCCTGTGGCTGTTGCCCAGCTAGGTCGCCTCTCTGAACCTGATGAGGTTCCCGGCTCAGCGCAGAATAGCCCTGCAGGGGAGCCTGTTGGGCCGGCCTGGAGGTCCCACAATAGGTCAGGCTGTATCTGGTGCCTGTCTGGGCCCTGCAGTGCCAAAATGGCCCGTCCACTTGGCCATATCTAGCGTCCATCTAGGCCCTGCGACACCAACATGACCCCATCCCCTTAGCCGTACCTGGTGCCCGTCCGGGCCCTGTGGCGCCAACATGGGCCCATCCCATTGGCTGTATTTGGTACCCATCTGGGCACTGTGGCACCAATACGACTCCGTCCCCTTGGCTGTATCTGGTGTCAGTCTGGGCCTTGCAGCACCAACATTGCCATGTCCCCTTGACTGTATCCAGTATCTATGGGTGCCTCTCAGCAGTAACGCGGTCCCAGCCCCCCTGCTGTATCTGGTGCCCATTCGGGCCCTGCAGCATTGACTCTCCTGCAGCCCCTCTGCCATCTTCCAGCCCATCTCCTTGGACTCTAGGTGTTTGCCCTGCCTGCAGCATGTCGGCTGGGGTCTGGAGCAAAGGGAAGCTCGGGGCATTCCTTGCTGCATGGCGGCTCTGTTCAGGGTGCCTGTGTTTTCCCGGCCAGGGCATTTCGGGAGCGTGTACCATGGCATGTACAGAGATCTGGCAGAGAGGGAGATCCACTGTGCTGTGAAATCCCTGAACCGTGAGTGCCCTTCCCTCTGGCTCCTGGCCTGCTCTCCTGCGGGGGTTGCTTCTGCCATGCTCTAGGGGGTCCCTAATCCCCATCCCCTTTAGGGTGCCTCTGAGCCCTGCCTGCTTCCTGCGCTGGCCCTTCACTCGTGCCAGGCTGTTGGCCAAGGAGCAGGAGGTGAATGGAACGGGCACCCCACCTATCTGGGCTATGCCTGACTCTTGGGTGTCTTCAGGCCTTCCTCCTGTGCAGCTGCCAGTGCCAGGGGCCAGGAAGCGTGTGTGTGCCCAGCCCCTGCTGTGCCTGGCTGGTGGCTGGATGTGGTGTCTCATGGAGTGGGCATAACCAGTGGTGAGCTGGAGCCGGTTTGCACCACTTCGCTGGAACCGGTTGTTAAATTTAGAAGCCCTTTTAGAACCGGTTGTCCCACGACGGACAACCAGTTCTAAAAGGGCTCCTAAATTTAACAACTGGCCAAAAGTGGCGCCTTAGGCGCCGACACTGTGGGTGCTCCGGGGCTGGAGCACCCACAGGGAAAATTTGGAGGGTGCTACTGGCAGCTCCCTGCCCCACCCCGCGCCAGGCCCCAGCTCACCTCCGCTCCGCTTCCGCCCCTGAGTTATGCTCTGCCCCGCTCTGCTTCTCCGCCCCCCCCCCCACTTCCCACCAATCAGCTGTTTGCGCGGGAAGCCTGGGAGGGCCGAGAAGCAGGCGGCAGCTTTGCCCTCAGGCCCAGGGTGGTGGAGGTGAGCTGGGATGGGGGTGGGGGGGGGGCACAAGGAGGGCCACCGGTGCAGCAGCAGGTAACCTGGGGGGGGGCGGGGGAGGCGCAGGGGAACCGCTTCCCGCCCCAGCTCGCCTCCGCCTCCCTGGGCCTGAGTGCGAAGCCACCGCCTGCTTCTCAGCCCTCCCAGGCTTCCCGTATGAACAGCTGATTCGTGGGAAGCCGGGGGTGGGGGTGGGCGGAGAAGCAGAGGAGGGCGGCACATTCAGGGGCGGAGGCGGAGCGGAGGTGAGCTGGGGCCGGGCGCGGGGCGGGGAGCTGCCAGTGGGTGCTCTGCACCCACCAAATTTTCCCCGTGGGTGCTCCAGCCCTGGAGCACCCAGGGAGTCGGTGCCTAAGACGCCACTTTTGATGTGATCATTGGGGGGAGCAGCCACTCCCCCCCCCTCCAGTTTTGCTACCCTGCCCCTAGGAGCCAGAGGGACCTGCCGGATGCTTCCTGGGAGCCGCCCAGGTAAGCACCACCGGGACTCCCCACCTTGCCCCCAGGCAGGTCCCTCTGGTTCTTAGGGGCGGGGTGAGGCGTGGTGGGCGCCCACTACGGTGGCCCACGAGACCCTCCTGCCTGGTTCCGGGGGCAGTCAGGGGACAGAGGAGGGGGGGTGGATGGGGCAGGGGTCCCAAGGGGGGCCGTCAAGAAACGCGGAGGGTTGGATGGGGCAGGGGTCCCGGGGGGCGGGCGCGGGCCATGACCTCCTCGTGGGGTGAGGAGGGAACTGGTTGTTAAGATTTTGGCAGCTCATCACTGGGCTTAACCCCTCTGTGATGTAGCCACTGCTCTCCACCTCTGCTGCTCCTCACTGGGCTCTGACAGCCCAGGTTGCCCCATCCCCTGGGGCCCATCCCTGCACTGTGGCTCCTGGGCTGGTTAGCGCCCCAGTTCCATGGCTGTGCTCCGTCCCAGGGATCACCGATGTGGAGGAGGTGGAGGAATTCCTGAAGGAGGGGATTCTCATGAAGAGCTTCCATCACCCCCACATCCTGTCGCTGGTGGGTGTCTGCCTGCCGTGCCAGGGATTGCCCCTGGTTGTGCTGCCCTACATGCAGCACGGAGACCTCCGGCACTTCATCCGCTCCAACAAACGGGTAAGCGCAGGCCAGCCACCCTCCCTGCTCAGGGGCTGGGCAAAGGCAGGGTCACCCTGGCTTGGGGCTCCCTGCCTGCAGCCTAGAGGAGAAGGGGTAACCCCCGCTCCCAGAGCCAGACCCCATGCAGCTCCCTGCCTAGCCAGCCTGTGCTCTCTGCACTGGCCCAGGCGCCCTACCCTGGCCGCAGCAGGCAGGGGCCAGCAGATGGGGCCAGGCAGCACCATGGCCATTGGGTTTTCAGGAGCTGCCAGACATGTCAGCTGGGCTGAAGCTGCTGCAGGGGCAGGGGGCGTTCCGGATCCTAGGGCCCAAGTGGGATAGGGGGTGCCTGGGTCTGGGGCGGGGGGTTGTGCTGCCTGTCAAATGGGCAGGAAGGTGAGATGGGGGCTAATGGACGCCCAGGAGAGCCCAGCTGCCCCTCCTGCCAGCCAGCCACCAAGTCTCCCCGGCCCTGCGGAGGCCGGGAGCTGGGGCAGTGAGTCCTGAGGGCACCAGGGTTGAGCCCTGCCTGTGTCCTCACGCTGTTCTCCCCAGGCTCTCTGGCCGGCAGGGCCACTTCGCGCTGGGAAGGCAAGGGGCTCACCTGGCTAGCAGAGGGTGCCCTGCATTCTCCTCCCCTAGCTCTGCCACTGCTCCTTTGTGCTGCCCTCCAGCCCCCCTGTTCTGCCACTGCCCCTCCATGCTGCCCTCCAACCCCCCAGCTATTCCCCTGCAGCTCTACTGCTGCCTATCCATACCATACTCCAGTCTCCCCATCCTCGGCTATTTCCCTCCCCCTCAGCTCTGCCATTGCCCAGCCCCGGGCTCTGCCACTGCCCCTCCACACTGCCCTGCAGCCCCCAGCTATTCCCTTCCTGCGCCCCCTACTCATCTCTGCCCGAGCAGCCCCCAGCCATGGCCAGGGGCAGGCTCAGCAGAGGGCCACGCTCCTGTGCCCCATGCCTGTGTCCTGTAGGGGTTGCCGTGGAGATGCTCTGAGCTGCGTTCTAGCGGTGTCTCCCGACAGCTGGCCGTGGGTGCTGCCCTGCCCAGCGCTCTGCCCTGGTCTCCCGGCTCCAGATGCAGGGGGCCTGGGGGAGCTGGTGTTCGCAGGGCTCCAGCCGTGGCAGTGCCAGGTAAGGGCTGAGCTGTGCCCAGGCACGAGGGATGGGCTGTATGTCTCCCTGCTCTTGTCTCCCCAGAACCCGACGGTGAAGGACCTGATCGGTTTCGGGCTGCAGGTGGCGCAGGGCATGGACTATCTGGCCCACATGAAGTTTGTGCACAGGGACCTGGCCGCCAGGAATTGCATGTGAGTGTGGCGGGCGGGTGTCCGGGGCCTGCGTGCCTGGCTGGGAGGTGCTGGGGCTGCCTTGCTAGCCTGGAGCACTCCCAAGCACACTCCTCAGCATCCTCTTCACCGCAAGACGCTTTCCAACAGGATGCTCTGCCCAGGCACACTGGCCTCGGGAGCCCAAGGCACGGCACCCTTTCCTTTGAGTGCAGCTGGCGAGCCCGGGGCTGGCTGCTGGGGATAGAGGGTTATGGGGCCTGGCACTGCAGCCTCTGTGCTGGCTGAGCCTTGGGCCGGTGGGTACAGGGGCCTGGCACTGCCCCCTTGGTGCCAGCTGAGCCTGGGGCTGGTGGGTACCAGAGCCTGGCACTGCTCCCTCTGTGCCAGCTGAGCCCAGGAGTGGTGGGTACAGGGACCTGGCACTGCCCCCTTGGTGCCAGCTGAGCCTGGGGCTGGTGGGTACCAGAGCCTGGCACTGCTCCCTCTGTGCCAGCTGAGCCCAGGACTGGTGGGTACAGGGGCCTGGCATGCCCGCTCGGTGCTGGCTGAGCCTGGGCAGCAGCAGGGCGAGTGTCAATCAAACTGCCTCAGAGGGAACTCTGCTATTAGGAGAATGGGGTTTGTGGCCCAGGAGCAGTCACTTTGCCAGCTGGGAGGGTGGATGCGTTGCCCTGGGGGCTGCTCTGAGACCTGCCCATCTGTGTGCCAGTGGCCCCTGAGTGCCCACCCCATGGATTGGGGCCCAGATGCCTGGGACTGGAGATAAGTGGCTCTGAGCGCCAGGCTCCTGGAGCTGTGCAACCAGCTCAGCTGGCATTCCTTCTTCGCGCCTTGCAGGCTGGACCAGGCGTTCACGGTGAAGGTGGCGGATTTCGGCCTGGCCCGGGATGTCTTTGATAAGGAGTATTACAGTATCCGGCAGCACCGCCAGGCCAAGCTGCCCGTCAAGTGGATGGCGCTTGAGAGCCTGCAGATCCAGAAATTCACCACCAAGTCGGACGTGGTGAGTGCGGGGGAGGGGTTGGCTGTGTGGGGGGCTAGTGCATTGCCTGTGCCCATGCCACGCCCACCGGGAGGCGCCCAGGAGCGGGGTGGCTATGGCGAGTGATCGCAGAACGGCCCTAACTGGCTCTCAGCTGCTCCAACTCCAGGAAAGAGCTCTGCTCTCCTCTTCATAGAATATCAGGGTTGGAAGGGACCTCAGGAGGTCATCTAGTCCAACCCCCTGCTCAAGCAGGACCAACCCCAACTCAATCATCCCAGCCAGGGCTTTGTCAAGCCTGACTTTAAAAACCTCTAAGGAAGGAGATTCCACCACCTCCCTAGGTAATCCGCCCCCGGCTGGACCCTGCCTCCCACCTACCCCCCACCAGACACCCCGGGCGCATGGCTGACGGAACCAGGGTTAGTGGCTGGCCCGCACATGGTGTTACATGCCCACCTTGGCACATGGGGCTTTGGAAGTTTAGACCGTTACATGTGGCTTTCCCTTTCCCAGCAGCCTGCCCCCTGGCTGTGCTGTGCCAGGTGAGCAGAACCCTGCCAGCCAGCGTGACTGGCACAAAGCAGCACTCGCTGAGCACTTGGCCTCCAGCTGAGCTTCCTTGGCTGCACTACGGGGGTCTCGGTGTCTCCTACCACTGTGTGAGGGAGGGGAGAGCCCAGCCCAGGCAGAGCCGGTTCCAAGGCGTCAGAGCCCGGCAGGAGAGAGTGTGGCCCAGGGAGAGCGTGGCCCGGGCGTCAGAGCCCGGCAGGGGAGAGCGCAGCCTGAGGGTCAGAGCCCAGTGCCAACAGACACCACTCCTGATGTTGCTGACCCAGGCAGGTCCGTGTCCTCGCTGGCCAATGCTGGGCCTACGTGGGGCCTCAAAACATGGCTCTCCGGCAGGTTGGGTAGCCAGAGTTAAAGAGCTGGGAGAGGAGCGGGGATGAAGCTGTCCCCTTGCTGGTGGAGACCAGACACCTGATGGGGCAGATTCTCCCACACCTGCTGCTGCGGGCACTGCCCAGGCCAGGCCCCCGGGCTGGGTTCCCTCAGGCAGTGCTGACATGTGCGGTGGGAGACTCTAGGGGACTGTGTGGGGTGGCTGTGTGCCACTGGCCTAGAGGATGCCAAGCATTTCCGGCCCTGCCGCATGCACGGTGCTGCTAGAATGACCCCCGTTCTCTCCGGCACAGTGGTCCTTCGGGGTCCTCCTGTGGGAGCTGCTGACACGTGGGGCCCCACCGTACCCTGAGGTGGATCCCTACGACATAACATCCTACTTGCTGAGCGGCCGGCGCCTGCCGCAGCCCGAGTACTGCCCGGACTCGCTGTGAGTGTCGTGCCCTCCTCCTCCTCACGGGGGGGTGGCCCAGGGCCCCTTGGGGACCTTCTTCCCCCATAACCCCGCTCCCTGCTGCATCCCCCACATCAACCCCACATATCCCAGCTCCCAAACTTCTGCCTGCCAGCCCCCGCAGTGAGCAGTGCCCGGCCCGACGCCCCCCAGAGCCTCCTCATCTCCTCATGCAGGACATCCCCTTTGAGCTCCCCTTCCCTGGTGTGTGGGGATGTGGGGTGCAGGGGGCCCAGCATGGGGGAATTTGGGAGGGTTTGGCATGTGGGGATCAGGTGGGGGAGCAGGAGGTGGTCCAGTGCTGGTGTCCGGCTGAGCTCCCTGCCCCTGGGCCTGTCCCGACTCTAACAGGCTCTCTTGTCGGGGCAGGTATGCGGTGATGCTGAGCTGCTGGGCTCCAAGCCCCGAGGAGCGCCCCACCTTCTTCACCCTGATCGGGGAGGTAGAGTGCATCATGGCCTCCCTGAAGGGCGAGCACTACATCAACCTGAGCGCCACCTACGTCAACCTGGAGCCCAGCCCATCCAGCCCGCCGGTGCCTGACTCCGAGGACGAGCTGGCCTCCAGCGGGGAGGAGGGTGAAGCAGCTGCCACATGTTAGGGGGCGCTCTCCGCCCCGTGGGGCACCAGGAACACAGTCAGAGCTGGCTGGGGAGACCTGGGCTGGGCAGCGTGTCAGGGGGCTGTGGCGACGCGATGGGAAGAGGTGCCAGCACCCGGCTGGGCTCCCATTGGCACTGCCCGGCTGGGGTGTTAGAACGGGGATGTTGAGCACTGTTGTTTTTCTACCTGATATTTATTGTGTAGCGAAGAGATACAGGGACTATTTTAATACAAAAGAAACGTCAAAACCAACCAGTTCTGGGGCTTGAATCACAAAGTTTTGATTTGGGGGAAGCTTTGGAATTTTGGCTCTTTGTCCTGATTCCATGGGGGCTTGTCCAAAGGGGTGGATGGAAATTCGGCTCCCACCCGGTGCAGGGGCAGCTGGGCCTGGCTGTCATGCTGTGTCCTCAGCAGGGCGCAGAAGTGCGGGCAACCCTCCCTCCCAGTGCTACCCACAGGCCACACGGAGCCAGGGCCTAGGAGTATCCTGTGACTGAGTCTGGGGATGTGGGAATTGTTTGTCCTGGTTCTAGGCCTGGTGCCCCACACGGCTACTGGTGCTGTCTGGGCTGAGGGGAGGGCCCAGCGGCTAGGGGTGCGGCCATAGGGGCTGGCACCAGTGGGGCACGCCCTGGTGCTGGAAAGCTCTCTACCCCCACTAGGAGCCAGGCGTGTGTGGGGCAGGGCCCTGGGGCACAGGGCATGACCTCTCACACACAACCCTGGCAGGAACTGCCCGCCTGCACCCAGCTGGGTTCAGGGCCCTGCCGGCTCAGGGACTGGGCGTCCCTTCCGCTGTCTCATCCCCTGCCCCAGCCCTGCCTTGGTGGGCACTCTCCGGAACAGAGGGGAATTCAGTGTCCATGGCCAGTTTGTCCAGCCTGGCCTGGCCCCGGGGCTTTCCCTGAGATCGTGGCAATGGCACCGAGGTGGCAATGTGAGGGCAGAGGCAACACAATGCTGAGCAAAGCTGGTTGCCAGGACACTGTTGGACCACACACACCCTCCCCTTTCTAGGGCATGTCCCTCAAATGCCAGCGGTATCCCCATGGTGCCCAGAGAGGGGCTGCAGCAGGGGAACTATGTCCCAGAGCTCGAGGTTCCTCGCGCCTGATCTCCTCTTGGAGCCAGGGGCAAGCTGGCAGGGGTAACATCCCTAGGGAGTGCCAGGCAGGGACAACCCCTTGCTCAACTCCTTACCAGCCACTACACGGGACCCACCTTTCCACAGCGCTGGGCTGGGGCTGGCTTCGCAGGGGGCAGGGCTCAGGCCCTAGAGAGGGAACTGGCCGGCCCAGACTCTACCTGCACACCTGGCAGCAGCGTGATGACGCATCGCCCTCCTGCTGCTGGCACCCAGCCCCTTGGGCAGCCCCAGCCTGCTCTGGGTTTGCATTGGCCTGTGGGGCAGAAGGGAGGGGCCCCATCTCCAGAAGTGTGAGACTGCGCTGGCTGTGGGGTGTTGTTATTCCCACAGGCACAGGGGGGTGGACAGTGAGGCCACATAGAATCATAGAATATCAGGGTTGGAAGGGACCCCTGAAGGTCATCTAGTCCAACCCCCTGCTCGAAGCAGGACCAATTCCCAGTTAAATCATCCCAGCCAGGGCTTTGTCAAGCCTGACCTTAAAAACCTCTAAGGAAGGAAATTCTACCACCTCCCTAGGTAACGCATTCCAGTGTTTCACCACCCTCTTAGTGAAAAAGTTTTTCCTAATATCCAATCTAAACCTCCCCCACTGCAACTTGAGACCATTACTCCTCGTTCTGTCATCTGCTACCATTGAGAACAGTCTAGAGCCATCCTCTTTGGAACCCCCTTTCAGGTAGTTGAAAGCAGCTATCAAATCCCCCCTCATTCTTCTCTTCTGCAGGCTAAACAATCCCAGCTCCCTCAGCCTCTCCTCATAAGTCATGTGTTCTAGACCCCTAATCATTTTTGTTGCCCTTCGCTGGACTCTCTCCAATTTATCCACATCCTTCTTGTAGTGTGGGGCCCAAAACTGGACACAGTACTCCAGATGAGGCCTCACCAATGTCGAATAGAGGGGAACGATCACGTCCCTCGATCTGCTCGCTATGCCCCTACTTCTACATCCCAAAATGCCATTGGCCTTCTTGGCAACAAGGGCACACTGCTGACTCATATCCAGCTTCTCATCCACTGTCACCCCTAGGTCCTTTTCCGCAGAACTGCTGCCTAGCCATTCGGTCCCTAGTCTGTAGCGGTGCATTGGATTCTTCCATCCTAAGTGCAGGACCCTGCACTTATCCTTATTGAACCTCATCAGATTTCTTTTGGCCCAATCCTCCAATTTGTCTAGGTCCTTCTGTATCCTATCCCTCCCCTCCAGCATATCTACCACTCCTCCCAGTTTAGTATCATCCGCATGCTCTGCCCTGCAGCCCCTGTCCCAGCAGGGTTGCTCCTCAGCACCGAGCCTCCTCCCTGGCACAGTGCGGGGGGTGCTGGCCCCCTGCCCTGTCCCAGAGGGCCCCCCCCCCCATTGGCCTGCCGGGATGTGAGGGAGAGAGAACTGGCCTGCAGTACCTGAAGGATTGAAGGGGCAGCCAGCTGTTCAGTGCAGGAGATGGGCTGGCCAGACAGGGCCCAAGGATGCTACCAGTCACACACATGCACACACCCACTCTGGGCTCCTACCCGGTGCTGTGCCAGAGATTGGATTCTCCTCCCCCTCTCCCGGGGCCCAACCCAATCCTGTGCCAGGGACCGGATCTTCACATTCTGGAGCCCTCAGCTGGGGCCACAGGGAAGGGGGCAGGCACTGTCCCCCCACCCTGAGTGCCAGCTCCACTCGCAGCCACTGCAGCACAGGTGGTGCCCCACCCTCAGAGCCAGGCCATACTGTGGGGGAGCCTGTGGCGAAGCAGCAAGTGCCACGCGGTCCGTTGTTTCTCAGACTCTCCTGCAGTCGCGACTCTCGGAGCTGGCACGATGGGGCTGCCCCCAGCCAACACTCCAGTGCTGAGCCCTACAGCTAGCAGCCCCTAGCGCTGGGAATGCCATGCAGTGCCTAGGATGGCAGATCTGCCCAGCTGGGCCAAATCTGAGCGGTGCAGGGGCAGCCCATGGCCATGCTGTCTAGGGAGGCAGCTTTATCTTGAGCTGCCTCTGCCTGCTGCTCGGGCTCTGGCCCGTGGCCCCTCTCGCCACCATGGTCAGGGCTCAGGCCTGCAGAGGGCACTGTTGGGGCAGATGGGAAGGGTGGACAGCAGGGCCCCCACCTGCAGGGGTTTGTGCCCAGGGCAGAGCAACAGTGGTTGCAACAATGATCTGTACAGTCACAGTTTATGTCAATAACGTCACACCCCCAATGTACAATTGATGCAGGAAGGGATGATGCAAACATCACTGACTGCATCCCAAGAGTTCCCCATCCTTGGTTCTGTCTTACTACAGCTAGGATTCGTGTATAACAGAAATGGTTTATTCAAGTTCTGTTCAATAACATGACTGAATCTCTTTACAAACTCAAGGCAAAACTTGGTTAGAACAATAGTGGATTGGATCTGCTCTTGCAGCATGGTTCCTGTATGTTTTGTATGATTTTGCCAAGAGCTAAAGTACATAGCTACTTTATCCATACAAGCTCTGGCAAATGTTTGGAACCCATTTAATATCAAGACAATGTAGATATTAACGTTATTCATAGTATAGGAATCTTGACAATGTAGATATTAACATTATTCATAGTACAGGAATCTTTAGCTGTGAAAGCAATATGGTAGTGTGCCTTAGTTTCCCTTTTCATACAGTATATTTTCCCCTGTGAAAAGTTCCAGTGCTGTTTACAGGTATTAACTGTGAAACTTCAGTATAACAAGGCCTTTTAACATAAAGTGTAATTCTTTTAACATGTTCAAGGGTTTTTTCCAAAGATTAGGCACATTGTACATTTTTACAGTTCTTGGTAATAGCAACACATTAGTTACAAAAATTACCATTAGCAATAACAAATTAATTGCAAGTGTCCATTTTTGTCATGCCACGCCTTTGGCTTAATAAAAATTGGGGTTTGGGCCTTTTAGAGTTACCCTGTGTCTTCCCTCTGCAAAATCAAGTTCTTTTTCCCTTCCTTGTCCTGAAGGATCAAACCTTGATCCTTCTTGCTTAACAGAATTAACTGGCTGATTGGCTGTGCTCTCTTTGCTGATAGCTATCAGCAAATCTTTCTTCCCCCAGTCAGTCAGGTAATTTGCATCAATGTAAACACTAGCTTTTAAATTCTCAGCTGCTACCAATTTCAAGGCTGGACACTCATTTTCCCCTTCAGCAGGATTGGGTTCTCCCCCCCACACACACACCTTTTTTCTAGAAGGTTGAAAACTGAAACTTCCTGCTTACAGGAATTCCTTTGCTGGCTAGAAGAAAAGTAGTACTTGTGGCACCTTTAGAGACTAACAAATTTATTTGAGCATAAGCTTTCATGAGCTACAGCTCACTTCATCGGATGCATGCTGACTAGGTGTGTTTACCAATTGCAGACCCTCTGTGCTTTGAACATCTACACAGATGATCTTCTGCCTGCTTGCTTGTGACCCCCAGCAACTTAGAGACTGGATTCTGTTTTAAAGCGATACCAAACCAATTCAAAGTACCTAAGGGTGAGAGTTTGCTTGCTTTCCCCTGCATCCTTGAGCATTCAGCCATAAAATGGTTCTGCTCTGAAACACCAGTAACCAAATCTATCTTCACACCCTGAAGCACAGACTGCTCACTTAAAGAATTAGCATGGAGACCTTCCTGTTCCAACAGCATTGTCTTTCCAACAAACTGGTTAAGCACAGCCACTTGATTATAGGGCTGTCCAAATTTCCTAACAATTTTTATTCCATCTGAAGCCTTCTCAGAGCTATCCACACTGGATCTTTCCAAAGCAAAGTCAATGAATTCCTTCCTAGCAGAAAATTTCTGGCTATCAGGAACTGAAACTTCCTTGATTAAATCACTTCCACGCCCTTTAGCTACAGCAAACTGCTTACAAAGACTACCCTGAAAATTTTTCTCTTCAGGAATCTTTCTAAGCACCCATGTACCTTTACCTTGCTCCACAGAAGCATTGCTCTGCTGAGCCACTACCAGCTTCTGAGATTCACTTACATCCAGAATCACCTCTGGCCCATCAGGCGGATTCTTACACAATCCCCTTTCAGGCAAACTTATAGACTCACTAGATAAAAGGTTAGAAGCATTCTTCTTCCCTTTGCCACACACACATTCAGGAATCTTTTCCTTGCTACAAGTTTCCACACCGTCCGTAAGTAACACAATCAAATCACCTTTATGCTATTTTGCTAGGACACTAACTGGATGCAACCTAGTTAGAGTACCATTCTTTCTAGCAGACACAAAGGTAGGACCATTCCCTTCCTGGGCTTTAGTTGAATCCAGAACCAACTCTGAGACAACTGCACTACCCTCAACCATCACAGGCTGAAAGACACCTTTTGTCTGCTCTACTGACAAAGAAGAGCTGGAGAAACCTTCCCCTTTTACAGACACACAGCTTGGGATCTCATTTTCCTTGTCCCAGCACACAGGGCTGTTCACAGACAACTGCTTGGAGGCCGGGGTAACTCCCTCCATGGGCAAGTCATTACCCCTAACAGACACAGGTACATTTCCTTTACTTTCACAGTTCTCCACACAGGTAACAAGTAAGTTATAGGACACTCATTTTCCACTATCCTCGCCTTCCCAAACGGCTGACTAGATAAAGCCCTCAGCCTAGGCAGCCTTGTGAGATTATCCAAACTTTCCCTGCCTTTCAGAGTAACAGCCGTGTTAGTCTGTATTCGCAAAAAGAAAAGGAGTACTTGTGTTACCTTAGAGACTGACCAATTTATTTGAGCATAAGCTTTCGTGAGCTACAGCTCTCTTCATCGGATGCATACTGTGGAAACTGCAGAAGACGTTATATACACAGAGACCATGAAACAATACCTCCTCCCACCCCACTCTCCTGCTGGTAATAGCTTATCTAAAGTGATCACTCTCCTTACAATGTGTATGATAATCAAGGTGGGCCATTTCCATCATAAATCCAAGTTTAACCAGAACGTCAGGTGGGGGGGGGGGTAGGAAAAAACAAGGGGAAATAGGCTACTTTGCATAATGACTTAGCCACTCCCAGTCTCTATTTAAGCCTAAATTAATAGTATCCAATTTGCAAATGAATTCCAATACAGCAGTTTCTCGCTGGAGTCTGGATTTGAAGTTTTTTTGTTTTAAGATAGCGACCTTCATGTCTGTAATTGCGTGACCAGAGAGATTGAAGTGTTCTCCGACTGGTTTATGAATGTTATAATTCTTGACATCTGATTTGTGTCCATTTATTCTTTTACGTAGAGACTGTCCAGTTTGACCAATGTAAATGGCAGAGGGGCATTGCTGGCACATGATGGCATATATCACATTGGTGGATGTGCAGGTGAACGAGCCTCTGATAGTGTGGCTGATGTTATTAGGCCCTGTGATGGTGTCCCCTGAATAGATATGTGGGCACAGTTGGCAACGGGCTTTGTTGCAAGGATAGGTTCCTGGGTTAGTGGTTCTGTTGTGTGGTATGTGGTTGTTGGTGAGTATTTGCTTCAGGTTGGGGGGCTGTCTGTAGGCAAGGACTGGCCTGTCTCCCAAGATTTGAGAGAGTTGGGTCCTCCTTCAGGATAGGTTGTAGATCCTTAATAATGCGTTGGAGGGGTTTTAGTTGGGGGCTGAAGGTGACGGCTAGTGGCGTTCTGTTATTTTCTTTGTTAGGCCTGTCCTGTAGTAGGTGACTTCTGGGAACTCTTCTGGCTCTATCAATCTGTTTCTTCACTTCCGCAGGTGGGTATTGTAGTTGTAAGAATGCTTGATAGAGATCTTGTAGGTGTTTGTCTCTGTCTGAGGGGTTGGAGCAAATGCGGTTGTATCGCAGAGCTTGGCTGTAGACGATGGATCGTGTGGTGTGGTCAGGGTGAAAGCTGGAGGCATGTAGGTAGGAATAGCGGTCAGTAGGTTTCCGGTATAGGGTGGTGTTTATGTGACCATTGTTTATTAGCACTGTAGTGTCATCATAATCAAAAAGGCTGACAAAGGAGGTGCTGTTGTCATCATGAATAGGTCGGAATATGAACAAGAGGCTGCTTGGCAGCTCTCCAACACCACTTTCTACAAGCCATTACCCTATGATCCCACTGAGTTACCAAAGCAACTACAGCATTTGCTCAAGAAACTTCCTGAAAAAGCACAAGATCAAATCCGCACAGACACACTCCTGGAACCCCGACCTGGGATATTCTATCTACTACCTAAGATCCATAAACCTGGAAATCCTGGGCGCCCCATCATCTCAGGCATTGGCACCCTGACAGCAGGATTGTCTGGCTATGTAGACTCCCTCCTCAGGCCCTACGCTACCAGCACTCCCAGCTACCTTCGAGACACCACTGACTTCCTGAGGAAACTACAATCGGTGATCTTCCTGATAACACCATCCTGGCCACTATGGATGTAGAAGCCCTCTACACCAACATTCCACACAAAGATGGATTACAAGCTGTCAAGAACACTATCCCCGATAATGTCACGGCTAACCTGGTGGCTGAACTTTGTGACTTTGTCCTTACCCATAACTATTTTACATTTGGGGACAATGTATACCTTCAGATCAGCGGCACTGCTATGGGTACCAGCATGGCCCCACAGTATGCCAACATTTTTATGGCTGATTTAGAACAACGCTTCCTCAGCTCTTGTCCCCTAACGCCCTTACTCTACTTGCGCTATATTGATGACATCTTCATCATCTGGACCCATGGAAAAGAAGCCCTTGAGAAATTTCACCATGATTTCAACAATTTCCATCCCACCATCAACCTCCGCCTGGTCCAGTCCACACAAGAGATCCACTTCCTGGACACTACAGTGCTAATAAACAATGGTCACATAAACACCACCCTATACCGGAAACCTACTGACCGCTATTCCTACCTACATGCCTCCAGCTTTCACCCTGACCACACCACACGATCCATCGTCTACAGCCAAGCTCTGCGATACAACCGCATTTGCTCCAACCCCTCAGACAGAGACAAACACCTACAAGATCTCTATCAAGCATTCTTACAACTACAATACCCACCTGCGGAAGTGAAGAAACAGATTGATAGAGCCAGAAGAGTTCCCAGAAGTCACCTACTACAGGACAGGCCTAACAAAGAAAATAACAGAACGCCACTAGCCGTCACCTTCAGCCCCCAACTAAAACCCCTCTAACGCATTATTAAGGATCTACAACCTATCCTGAAGGAGGACCCAACTCTCTCAAATCTTGGGAGACAGGCCAGTCCTTGCCTACAGACAGCCCCCCAACCTGAAGCAAATACTCACCAACAACCACATACCACACAACAGAACCACTAACCCAGGAACCTATCCTTGCAACAAAGCCCGTTGCCAACTGTGCCCACATATCTATTCAGGGGACACCATCACAGGGCCTAATAACATTAGCCACGCTATCAGAGGCTCGTTCACCTTCACATCCACCAATGTGATATATGCCATCATGTGCCAGCAATGCCCCTCTGCCATTTACATTGGTCAAACTGGACAGTCTCTACGTAAAAGAATAAATGGACACAAATCAGATGTCAAGAATTATAACATTCATAAACCAGTCGGAGAACACTTCAATCTCTCTGGTCACGCAATTACAGACATGAAGGTCGCTATCTTAAAACAAAAAAACTTCAAATCCAGACTCCAGCGAGAAACTGCTGTATTGGAATTCATTTGCAAATTGGATACTATTAATTTAGGCTTAAATAGAGACTGGGAGTGGCTAAGTCATTATGCAAAGTAGCCTATTTCCCCTTGTTTTTTTCCTACCCCCCCCCCCACCTGACGTTCTGGTTAAACTTGGATTTATGCTGGAAATGGCCCACCTTGATTATCATACACATTGTAAGGAGAGTGGTCACTTTGGATGGGCTATTACCAGCAGGAGAGTGAGTTTGTGTGTGTGGGGGGGGGAGGGGGGGGGCGGAGGGT